AACATGAGTCAAGTACGTTATAATCACTCAACTCCACAGTCACCAAGCGGCAGAGACAACGTGCTGCTCAGAGAATACCGTCATTATTCCACGAATGCCTTCTTTTCACACGTGAAAACGTGTTATAACCAATATAAACTTCGTAAATACTATACATATATAAACCCGGGGGTGGGAAATCTTAGATTTCTTCTTTTTGGATGAGATAATCAGATTAAATAGCACGTCTTCCGAATTCCCAGTCTTTCTGGGCTTATATCATCAAAATGTGCATGGTATGTTAGGTACTACTTACTTACATCGAGGACCAACAAATCTACACTGGTCTTTAAAGAAACATCATAAGAGCAAATACAGGTTTTGTACATGACAGGGCTGGCCCAGGTTATAGAGAAGGCGTACCTTGCTTCCTTATTTTGTCCAAGTCTGAAATAAGAACAGTGGCAAGTGTAAGTTTCTAACGGACATAGAGACGAACTTCACTTGCAACCAATATTCTATCCCGTTAAACTCAAACAAATTTCACCAAAATGCATACCATCACATGCAGGATACCCACCTTTCTTTGGCCTGGGCTTCCAGTAGCTTCTTAGCATCCGGGTACTCGACCAGAGCCTGTAAAGGAAAACGACAGCTTATCATTATCTGAAATTAACATATTTTTTTAAAACCTCCATTTGTTTACAGGATATTGCAACAATCATTTTATCGCAATGAACTCATGCTAATTTTACATATCACTGTGCCATGTATATGCATATATTAAGGTACAAAACATGAAAAACGAGTGAAAAACGAAAAGCTGACGGGATACTTACAGATAAAAGGTCTTTCCGGGAAAGCACGAGCAGTTCCGAGTACCCAACAGAAATGACGTCAGCAGTTCGCCTGGGCAGACGAGACGAGGAAAATGACATGACTGAATGACCACTGAATGAAAACGACTTCAAATCAAAATTGTTGCAGAACATCCGTTCAAATTTCTAACCACGTTAACCTCTTCTATTCTGCACTCACTTGTTGCCCCCACCGTCCAGTTTCAAGACACTGATTTCGCCGAAGGAGTTTCCTTTGGTCAAGGTCGCCACGACCTTCCTCTCCCCTGTAGTGTTCTCTGGGACCAGGATCTGAAGAATCAAACTAATGAGAACCTCTACAGTTTACGGAAGCCAAAACAAGCAAGAAGGTCGCCCGTTGTACTGGGTCAGTGATTCATAGACAACCTCCGACATACTTCGATATCATCGATAACGTCAAAATAGATGCGATGGAATGGAGGTACTGAAATCATGAGTTATTTCCATTGCACCAAAGCTTAAGTCCTCTAGGCCAATAAAGAGGAGATATGGCGGCCACTTACCTGTACCGTGCCGTGGTTTATTATGTACATTTCACGGCCTGTTGGAAGAAGGAAGCTGTATTAATTAGGTCGCGCTTCAAGAATAACAATATTATGAAACATGTGACTAAACGCTGTGTCAAAAAGACCCAATACTCATCTTCTTCCTATCTGTAGACATAAAAGTTTATTTCAGTACTCGGTATGTGAATTGGAGTCCCCCACCTGTCTCTCCCGTCCTGCAGATGTAATCCCCAGGTGAGTAGATCTGGGAACGCAGCTTCAGTACCAGGTCACACAGTAACCCCTGCTCACAGTCCTCAAATATCGTCACCTACACAGGGAGACAGTCACGTTACTAACGACTCACTGCCTTGTGTTGATTTTGATCATATCTGGTGCCTTCTTGGATTCGTCACAATACGCAAGAAATCGCTCCTCTCATATTCTCTTTATTTTCCTCTCTTTTGTCTTCGTTTCACCCCCCCCCCGTGAACGTGAACTGTCCCTACCTTCCTGAGTGTCTCCAGGTGTACGTGTATGGCTATCTCCGCCCGAAGTCGCTCCGGTAACATCTCCAGTAAAGACACCTCATCCAGCGCCTGCGTTCTGGACAAAGATAAAAACATTTCCCATGGAACACCATAGCTGTAGCAAATCTGAGCATAGAACCAATCAGCATGTAGAAGTATTGCCTACAAGTACGAAGGTGACAATACATCCCGGTAGTTGCCCCATGCATGATGTTTGTCGGAGACAGTGCTACTTAAAACATGTACAAGTTTGCATCTAGTCACGCACTATTGTGTAAACAATGCTAAATTAACTGACTGTGAGATATTGACACATATCAGCTTGACCCCTCCCCATTGCATTAGTTCAAGGTCAGATAGCAAGGTCAAAGCTACCACACTGCGACGGCTATCACATAGACATCCTACTTTAGAAAACCATAATGAGAATTATGCTCACTTGGCCCATGGACTAACACTCACAACTCTTTCGATTCACCTTTCTACAACAGCACTTACAGCCAGGAGAATATGTCATGATGTCGGGAGTACAAGAGAAATAAATGGACTGCGAAGAGTACTTTTACATGTAGTCTACACGATTGTGGTGGTAGCGGGGGGATGAGAATGTGATCAGGGTAATGTGGGTGACGTATGAAGCTAAAGACAGAACGTAGGCTTATGTTTCACACATACGCCTCTGAATTAAAAGCATTTGGTCATTCGTGTACATGGTGTCACTGAAAACATTACAGAACTAAGACCTAAGAGAAAGTCAATCTGAATAGAAACAATGACGTCAAGGGACAAGATTGCTGCATGTTTAAGTCCGTCTGAAACATCGTGCCTATTATCAGGCACTTAGCGACTCCCTAAAATCCATTTGGTTGACATGGCGAATTAAGAAGATTCAAGCATAGTATAGTCTGGACACCCCTCCTATAGCTAGCAGCCCAAGTGTCGAATGATATGCAAACCAAATATATCCAGAAAAGGGAAATACTAGCTAGTATCTAATTTATTCCATTATAACGTGCGTGAAGTCAACTACAAAACAAGTAGTAGGACTAACAAGAGAACAATCAAATAAGCAAGCAAACCGGCAACAAGCATCTTAGAATGCCACTATCCCGTTCCTGAACAAACTCCCAGACCACTAAAAGCTAACTCATAATCAGAAACAACGGGCAGGCACATTACTGCAGAGTCTTACCTGTGCCAGGCGTAGCCCGCCCACCTCTTGACACGACTTTGCAGAGCCTCTGGCACTTTTCTGTGCGTCATGTACAGCTTGATTGAGTCCATCCTGTAGTAGTACAAGGAACGAGTGTTAGAACGCACTTTCATCCCACCCCAAATGTGCACAACTGGAAAGAATATTCAAGCAAGAGGACATCTAAAATCATTTCATTTTTCTTGATAATGACCAAAATCATGTTTGCTCAAGCAATCGGATTCCGGTATGTCACCACACCTAGCCTATTTTGTTTATCTGGACAAAACAGCTGCTACATATTTTACAACATATCGGATAGCGGAGGAATCACCTGTTTTGGAAGTCAGTTCTGGCAGCATTCAAGTTGCTGATGACGTCACCCACGTTCCCGACCACAGCGGCGAAGACGAAAACTCCGATAAGAAATGTCACCCCCGTGAAGATGTACTCCTGGCGTCAGGACGGAACAGAAGAGGCGTGAACAGACGGAACCGTTACTGTCCCGCAGTCTAGACTAAAGTAATGTAGGATCATGATAGATGAAGATGATTGCAATCTTGAGTATCATGATAGGAACGCTGTACTGAGAGCCAGTCCCTCAGACATGTAGTGATTTATTACAGAGCTAAAATTGTAGACTCAGCCAGTCGTGATTGATGAGCCCTCGTTAATCACAATGTAATCATATGGGAAATCAAGGTATGATTTCAGTCTGATCTGCAGTAATAGAGACACCAGGATAATAACCATTTGTAACACTATACGATCTTTGCCTTGTCAGGCTACAATGTGACATTGTAGATTTTTCATCCCTAGTATAATCGGACGCGACTTTATCCCGGGAAAACTCACCAGGTTGGTGACAGGATTGGAAGCTCCCCCAATGGTCGTCAGAGTCATGGTGGACCAGTACATACAGCGGATGTACTTACTGAGAATAGAACAATGACGTCTAATGGATAGTTTAATATCAGAACAATCAAAGCTCAAAGGAAGAACGTCTAACCCAATATTACATGGCGCACCAATATTCAAAATTACTCATTGGCCGACTGACAAGGGATATAAGGAAGTTGATAGGGGGTTTTCTTGCTGATAAAGCAATTATTCCTAAGAGTTGTCTCGTAAAATCTAATGGATCAAATCAGAAATACCTCGTAAAATCTTTAAATGCAGGCGCAGAGGAGTACACCCAATCATTGGTCCCAAGACCTTCGTACTGAAAAGAGAAATTCATAACAATGGTTTCAGCACCATGGAGAGGGAAACCAGCATCATAAGTACAGCAACAGTCATTACGTGGTATATCAGAAAATGAAATCGCCAATCCAATTTGTTTACAGTTACGTTCAAAAACAAGAAGCAATCATTTTAGTACCGTGGTCATCTACAACATTGATTTGTGTTGTGAATTTTACTTTCCACTTCAGCATTGTATATGGTCAAGATCTTATCGCAAGCTGAACCAGCCCTTCGCAAGCGGACGTAAATTTATGGAAATATGTATACAATCCGTTTGTCTTTCCTACAGTCCCACTGTTTATCAGACATGTTCCAATGAAAGGCACTATCGACAACAGATGGCGGACGGACAATCCATCCACAGACCTACAGTCGCTGACATTAGAGTTGTGTAATCCTTCAAAAGGACCTATAATGTAACACATGATATACCTCCTGTGTGATAAAATGAAGTACTCCCAGATCATACATGTGATCTTGAAACGTTTTGTCTACACTCTGTCGGTAATACCCCTCCGTCTTTTTACCATGTTTGCCTTGATTCCAGGTATTTTAAAGGTTACATCGACAGAGAAAACGTCAGCGTATATAACCATTGCTTGCACTGACTCAAACAAAGACGACACAGAATTATTCAAGGACTGTACCTCGGACAACATGTAGTAAAAGCACCCCACCCAATGGATCACTACACCCAGGTACATCGTCAGCTTGAATGCTCGAAGTCTGTTAGGATTGCTGATACGGCTGGCACAGCATGCAAAAAACAAACAGTTACAATTTTAGCTTGTCTTCCCTACGTATATGGGCATTCTTCTGAACTCCGATACATTAACTGTGATTGACGTTGGATGGAAAACACCAACACTATACGGAGAGGAATCTTCACTCATCGTACAAATTAGTAAAATTGGATTGCTTTGCCTTTGCCTTTGCCAAGAACCCTTGCCATCATCTCTATTCACCCAAGAAGTCATTAGAGCAAAGTGAAAACGAAACTACGCCACAACAAGTTTATGATGGAGTTAAAGTTGTAACATACCTGTCCGTGACGTCAAAGAACTGAGCCAATGAGTGGAGTTTTAACAGCCGAGACAGTCGAAGCAGTAGACAGGAACTGTCTGTTACACAGAAGAACGGTAGTATCATGAGATACAACATGTGCGCGTTGTGTTGGGTTCATGAAAGCTAGATTTAGACATGGGACAAGGTAGTTGTCCCTTTGGTGTTATGGTCATCCAAGATATACTCTGTGACTATAGAATATAGAATACCTGATAAATTTTAGGGTATTCTGTGTAATGAAATAAAGGCTCGTACCTGACAGGTGGCCCCACGTCTGAAATGGAACAATTCCTAAAGAACACAGCAAAAATACTTCTGTTGGACATTTGGTAAGCAAAGGAGGTACGACAATATTATCTGACGCTAGGTACAATGTAGAATGTTTGGAAGAATGCGTTATACGGTGAGAATATTTGTCCGAATCGGACACTCCTCTTCCTGTTAGATGCAATGTATCTATATTTGGTATTCATCGTTGGTGGTAGATTCTTTGGCGATCGGGAATTACGATGTTAATACATAACTTTATTGCGCAACAATTGTACAGTGTACAAAGTATGGCATCTACTGACGTAATTGTGTTATTGTAGGTATGTCTTACATAGTAACCAATGGCAAATTGACATAATCTGACATGTACTATCTATCATTTCTCCAAAACTAACACGGTCTTCACAGCACCTCCTTCATCGGATGACAAACAACTATAAACCTGTTCTTACTAAGAATGAGACTGCAGACGGATTGTAGTGGGAGGATGGCGACCACGTCCCTCCAAAACCACGGCTGGCTTCTGTAGTGTGAGGACAGCTTGTACGGATCTAAGACCTACACACGGCGGTAAAATATAAAGACAGTGTTTACCGCCCACTTTTTGCGTTGGCATAGCCATCGAAATAACAGCATGAAACATGAAAGCTTTGAATTTTGCTAAAGAACACGAAAAAGACATCATAACGACAAAAGAGGTAAATCCATACCAGCATGCCCTCTTCGAGATAACCAATTCGGTGTTGTACAAGCACATCCAGGAAGTACACCAAGTCACAAAACAGATCCAGCTCACACAGGACCAACTGATGAGTACCCTGGGCGGGATAAACAGCAAGGATCAGTCAGGAGACAAGTTTACAGAGTGGATCCAGCTGCACCAGCATCATGTTGTTATATGCGTTGTTAGTGAAGAATAATTTTACGTCTCATAGATATAAATCATTTCCTTTCGAATGTCTGATGTTAAAATTCTGCCCCTTGAACGGATGCTTACCTCCTCCCGCATTTCGACGAAGGCGAGGCGGAGAATAATCACCCAGTAATTGTACAGTACCGCCAGAGCGACTGCACCCTGCCGACGATTAAAGGTCAGAAAACTGGTCAAACAAGTTCGTACCTTAAAGCACATATCAAACATCGCGACTGGAAAGTACGCAAAACCAAAGCGTGGCGGAGAGCCAACAGCTACCATTAGGAATACTCCGTCTCAGATACCCATCTAAAATGTGCTTCATTCATGAGTCCATGTCTCAGTCTAAAAACGTAAACCTTTCTTTCTGATCAAAGAAAAGGATTAGAATGGTACAACTTTGTAGTCTTTATACAGCAGTATATCACATGGGAAGTACGAATACTCTGTTGAATTGCCACGGAATATGTAGAATTTTCCACATAAATAACCTTGCTGCATGAATGTCTGAAAATCAGCAGGTTTGATGTATGACTCACCATCCCGTAGTAAGCCAGGTCTCCGTCAGGGTCAAGCACAAGGTCAAGTTCCGAGGGCACATCAGGTAGCAGGAGGTCCTACAGGGTACATCGTAGTTAAATACAGCGCTATGTAACAAGGGGCATCGTCAATTGGAACTCTCAATTCTCCATCACCATGAAGCTTTTGGCTACAGAAAGACATTTTTCATTGTTATTCAGAAAAGCTGGTTGGACGAGTGGGTTTAAATTTGCTACAGGGATGTTTAGATATGCTCTTAGCAGGAGTTATGTATTTTGAAAGTGCAAAAACCTTGTTTTCTGTGAAACTAAAACCCTCAAAAAGACAGAGAAGTAGATGGAACTCCCCAACAGTGCACTGTTCCCAACACTCACGCAAGCTGTAAGTCTACACATCTGCAATGATGTATGACTGATACCGCAGGAGCACAAGAGATGGATAGGTGTGGCTAGGCGGGTTGTGCAGATAACTGCTCTGACGCATGTGGACAAAGACGACTTTTCCTGAATAATAAATCATTGGCGCCGGTGAAATATAAGCCGACTAACCCACTGAGGCCACACAGCCATGACACATGAAGCGTATAATATGTATGACATTAATAACATTAGCACCATGCCGTGCGTGAAGATGAAATCGAGAAAACACGTGCCCATTATGAATGAAATATTAATGGTCTTTTAATAATCTTAATAATTATGAGATAGAATCAAGGCAATGGGGTGTCACTTGAGTTCTCCACAGCTTCTGCTAATTGTGGACAAGCAATTTTGATTTCAATTATCAAGCAGATAAGATCATTTGTGTTTTATTCTTTCTCTGGCTAGTTTTGAATATCAAGTGTGTTATGCACATTCTTGCAGATTGACACGGACTATGGTTTGCTTGTTCTGAATGTTGAGTTTCTATTATAAAACACACTTCTTTGTTCTTATCATGTAAATTTAATAAACACTTAAAACAGCAGTTGGTGATCTTCTACACTGTTCTATCAAGTCTAGAGTTTGCAGTCCTTGGGCGTGACGTTGGTAAACAGCAATAACAACAGAACTATAGACACACATTCCATCCCACCAAACCTTTACCACTGTTAGCCGTGCCAGTGGCACTGTCACACACCTGGTCCACTAGGCTCAATTCGCTGTCCCTCTTGCTGCTATGGCGGCGCGACCGAGCCTCTCTGACCGTGAAGACGTCGTCTGAATCCGGGTCGTCCTCCATGTCTTCTGCCGGCCCAGCCTGGCGATGTACGGAGCGCGGAGTCCCGTCTTCCTCCCGAGAGTCGCTCTCTTCGCCGTCCCCAGAGAAGCGGTAACTGTAGCGCGCAATGAAGCAGCCACAGACGCAGGTCTTTAGATATATGCTACTTGGCATTCTGATCAGATGAAACTGTAAGTACGCAATATTTTGTAGGAACATCTAGCACAAAGATTAAGTTATGACGTACTCAAAAGTAAGGTCACTTTTACGAACTGAATCACAAAGTCTTAACGTACCTTCTTGACAGCATCCCCTGGCTCTGTAGGAAACAGGAGAAAAAACAGCCGTCAGTATTACGTCAGAATACCATTGTGGACGATTGACTGACATCATTCTCCAACCAAAGTTTACTAGAGGCAAGGCAAAAGAACAATCAAGGCACCGACAGCAGGGCCGAATCGGGCGCGGAAGAGAAGAATTAAAACTCACGAGTTCGCGTCTTCAGTTATTAACCCAAATTTGCCGACGAAATCATAAATCCCATATGTCTTCACCACCTTACCTTCCAGTACACACACACACGCAGCCACACACATAAGCTAAAATCGGGGAATAGCGTAGTCACTGTTGCCTCGAATGTTAGGTGCCTTGTCCCATACTAGTAACTAGCGGTGTCTGTTTTAATTTCAGCAGCAGCAGTCGTGCGTGCGTCACTGCATTATACAGTCTGTAATTACCACAACCTCCTATCTGTCACAACCATTTATTTCAGCTTTAGTAAGAAGCCGGCGGCGCAGAAAGCGTCTAATGCTGCACAACTTTGAATTCTTCACTTGTAAGACGTGCCCGTAATGAACCCAGATTATGGTGTTTAGTCTAGCTATGCCGATTATAGTTCACACAGAACAGCAAAGCTTGGCTTAATTGCTGAACTACCGATTGTTCGGGATTATATCAGCACACTGAGTAGGCAGACAGTCTATACTTAAAGTGACAGTTACCTGTGTTATGAAGAGTAACAATTCTATATCATGCCCATACAATGTTTCGAACTGATGATTCTAACATGTAGTTTAGACATCCAGTGAGTTTTCATGTTCGTGACACTATTATGTGGAGGGGCCCTGGTGTGACAGTGACGTGACCTTACCGCCTCCCATGTCCACTACAGTGTGCGCGGCGAGAAGTTGTCAGAATCTGGGGAATTTACCAACTTAGTGATACGAGTACAACGTTACGTGGTACATCTTGTATGGTGGTAAGAAGCCACCAACTGACCTTTCCCCTGCTACCATGTCACACGGGTGTCAGTCTCAAAAGTCTGGTGTCATTCTGTATCTATTCAGCGTTTGAAGCTGGGACTGCACAAAATTGATCACACAACTGTATCTAACATAACCCCTAAATCATATCAAACCAAACGATAAGCTCGTGGAATTTAACCAGCAAACGAAGTCCGTATTAATGAGTGTTCTTTCTTTCAGAATGTTTCTGGCTATATAGTGCAATTAGGAACATGTCGTTATGGTCGGTCTGTCTAAGTCTAACTATGAAGGGAACATAATTTGATTTATGGAAGCATTGCTTCTGTGCGTTTGCATGCAAACTCTGCACGCTGCACATATATTGTTTAATCAACAAGATTTGTTTTTCAATTTAATATGATATTCCTAAAAGTTTAAAAAACGTGAAAAGAATGTGAGGGGGGCTCATTCGATCAAATCGTAAAGACGCGAAAACCACTGTCTTATATTTTGGGTTATGTCATGTATTGATAAGGTCATACAGTTTCTCCACTAATGAATCTGACCACAGTAACTAGGTCCCGTGAGGTCCCACCAGACAAAAGAGCAGGTTACAGTTACTGTTCCACCCACGTCCTGTCTATGTTCAAAATACATCACCGCGGCATATGACTCTGTACAGTGTATCATGCTGAGAAATCCCGTTATCCCTCTAATGGGAGATTGAAACAGACACAATGTGTTTTCTTTATGTTGAAAGCGTCCCCAAATATCCCGCTTATATACCTGGGGGTAGTTTCTATAGAAACGCGGATACGTCCATCTCCGCTGGTCTTTAACATCAGAAGTCTGCGGCATGGTTTACCTTCAAACAAGAATGTGCCTGGCTCGTCAGGCATTCAGACAATCACGACACGGCACCCTAGATATTTCCTGGAAGCTTATGTTTTTATTTATCAAAATGTCAACAATGCCCCTGCTTTGGCTACAGGGGCAACGCAGGAGATTTCGGTTACCACAACACAGAAACACCCACGTACAAAATAACATAGAATCACTAGATAGGAGCATTACAAGAAAGGGTCATTGATATGCACCTCTCAAATCTTAAAAGGTTATACATAAGGTATAGGCAAACAACAAAAGCATGTTTTTTTAGGAGATTCCATTAACACTAAGGCGTTTAAGTGGTTTGGAATGGAAGAGACTATGGGATAATCTCTGCCTTTTTCTGCACGATAAGAAAGCGAATCATACTACAGATAATTAAGAAAAAAACTTATGTGTATATCATGGATAAGCAGTGATACTGAAAAGGACCCCAGAGCCCCCTGACATTTGAAGTTCACAGTGATGACACCAATGCATAACATGACAAAATCTGTCACAATTGGTAGATGCAAGTCACTACCTAACTGTTGCGGAGCGTAAGGAGTGGTACGGTTTGTTGGCCCTTTACAGTGCAGTGAATGATCTAGTAAAGCGCTTACCTTATCCACCGCAGTGCTTACACAGAGGGGCATGTCTAACCCTCACGAGGTCCCAGGTCTATATTTCCATGACAGAATACAACATTCAGGTGTCTTCGAAGATGTCCCCACTCACTCAGAGGAGTTTATATATGTGTCAGCACTAAGGCACCGCTCGATAGTTTTCCATCCCACATTTAAAGCATGCTATGAACCGCGGGCAACGTTACAAGTGAGCCAGGGTGGTGGACACTGCGTCACTAGTGCACTGTTCACCGCCACGGATTCGGGGCGTGACGTCACAATTAGGCTGGGTGCTGCCATCGATCAACCTACGGTCCGCGTGAACTGTGTGAAACTACGTGGTAGGATTTACATTCAGACTTACGGAAACCTTACATTTACTGAACTGGCTATATGGCGGTGACGTTATCATTTACAAGCGACAATTTGAGGCGGATATCAACACACCGCACGCACTTCAAAGGGGTAGATTGATTTGAAAAGGCCATTTTTGCGTCACCTACGCTCAAGTGTTCATCATAATGGGGACGAAAGGTCGTTTCCTTCCTATACTAAATGCTGGTTATAAATTAGACCATCTATCCGATATGTTTTTCCAAAACAGTAGTAATTGCTCAGTCTGCAGGAAGTAAGTTGCAGTTCTGCTGTCCGTATGTTGTTTAAACACCGACTCTCTCTAACTGTACAAACACACATAGGGCATTCCTAATCATGTAGCAGTAACTGGAAACACTTTTCGTAGGTCTTGCAAATACTCCCGGTAAGGCCATTGTTGCATATGGTGACGAGAACGACATAAAACTCGACGATTTGACCATTTCGCATATCCTAGAATGCAATGGTGCCCGTTTTTCAGGCCACTATCCCAGTTTCGTCTCTGTTTGAAAACCACGACAGCAGAACACTAATTAATAAGCATACCCTCTGTAGAATTTCCCGGAGTGCTCTATTTTAACCCTTTCCATCAATTCTGTTTCCGTCATTTGTCTGTGTCCTTCATAGCTGTGTTTGCTCGGCATTTCATATACACGCACAATACCGAGCGATGGAGAGTATTGCAAATATCGTACCAGAATGTAACAAATTGGTTGCTATTTGGTGTTCATCAAGTCTGTTTTCCATCCTGCTCTGTTTCACCGGTTAGCTAAAGGCCACAGCGTTTTGTCCACCCTTGACCAGTTTCTGAGATAATTAGCGAATCTCCCCTCTCTGCAATGTCTCCCTCTATTTATCACTCGGTTCACCCCAAGACCACAATTTCCCAGGGATCACACATGAACAATTCGTCTCTCTCTGGGAAATCGACGGCAGGCGAAATGTACCCGTTCAATTCCTTCAACAACAGCAGGCGTGCGCAGTCGGAACGTGCGCTGCGTGCCGTATATTCTACACATTAGCATTGCAGTGTAGGCTGCTAATTGTAGGCTGCTAATGTATTTCCACAAGAATAATAATACTTTAGTAGCAATATACCCTAGGAATTGTACAGTAGGTGATTTGAAAAATCGGAAAATGCCTGGCCCAAGATCAAAGATCATAAATTAGATAATGTAAGAACTCCAACCGGCCCGAGTATTCACCAGTTATTGCCTTACAAACGTCTTCTTGGACTTTTACAAGGTACACTTTGACAACATTTTCAAGCTATGAAAAGTATTTAAAAGACTTTCGTACTCACCCCTGTGGACGACCTCTTGGCGGGACTCTGTCGCCTGTAGAAAAGGACATGAGATTGATATCCAGGAAGCAATTACGACCAGAACTAAAGTATATGTCAGTAACTATCTGGGGAAACTTTCTTCACTCTTGGTCAAAGAGCTCTCTCCCGTCTGGAGATAACGCGGGCGAGCGGGAAGAGTTAACCTTTACGTCCCCGGGATATGAATGACGAAGTAGAGTTGGGCACAAAAGAAGTCGTCAGACCGCTGGAGAGATTGCCTATCGGATCATCATCTGCCGAAATTGACCCGGTCACATGAAACATTTAATAATCACGATGTTCCAGTCTGCCTGCTCATCAAAGGATGCTGCGGTATTCAAATAAGCCCACAGCGTAATTACTTACCGATAAAACGATTCCTGCATACATACATGTGTAGGCTCATAGTGACCAAGGTGACCAAGGCCGAGTTCTGTATACTCTAGCTTCTGATACTCCGACATTTAACTGATAAACGCAGAGGATAGAACAAGAATTCCACTACTTCATACCTTCGCCAAATTATGCTAACCTTTACGGCTGACGAACTGTAAAAGTTTCTATTTGATCATAAAAGTAATATACTAATTTGCATGAATTATATTGGTTGATCATATTTCCCCCAATGACAGTCTTATCGTATCAAAAAAGGAAATTGTAGCATTTCCTAATAGATTATGTAGATGAGGTCCTGATTAGAATACGTTATGTGTAATAATGTTCACCTGACAGTTACCACTATTACATTGTATTTTCTCGTTAATTATACAAATCAGGTATTCATTTATATAATCAATATCTGCCAATGTTCCTCTCGTCCTCAATTACGAGTACATATGTCACAAGTTGAATAGTCCTATCTTGCAACGCAGCAGATTTATAGAAATGCCTAATCTGAATAATTGAATCCCAATTTGCATAAATCCCAATTTGCATGATTGCCAATTATGTCAAGCTGGTAGTTATGTCACGTCTTCTAGAGCACAAACTATCTACCACTCAATTCAAAGTTCATGATGTTAGCATGTCCAGATCACGAGACACCAAAACCGGGAGTTTCGTCGCAGTACCATAACAAGCCCCTAGGGCAAAATCATTTTGAAGTCTGATCACCCACCTACCAAGGTTCATGACTATCCATCCATAGTTTCTTGACTTTATCGTGGTAAACAACATACACACATCAACATACACACAAGTGTTACCTAACGTAACGTAACCTTCTAGCGAGGGTAATAACGACAAAATGAAGATAAACGAAACCCCACAGGGTGAAGTCTGGAGAGGCTATTACTTGTCTTCGGTCCGTGTGGAAATGTATGTGGATATCAGCTCTATTGCACCAGACGCGGCTTCCACAAAGAGATAATGCTACAGTGAAGTATGTATCTATAGCCAGTGGCCATGGGTAAAAATAACAGGGATTCCGAGCATTGAGGAAACTCACGATTTTGCGATTAGGAGAGCTCTAACATTCCCCGGTGAGTGCTTTTGAACGTGAGAAGCATTTTGAGCGTGGGTTTTGAAGTACCGTATTTTGTCGCAAGTTAGAGTGTATTGTGTCTAAATCCTTTCCGCCTGTTATTTTCCCAACGAAAACTTGATTTTGTTCATAATTTTCAGCCTCCTTCACAGACTTCTGATGAGGCGGCGTTATTTTTTTTCGGTGAGCGACGCGAGTTATGCCGCAGGGACAGTTTTGCCGCCGAAGAACTTTGAATGTATAAGGCGTAGTCTTACTAGTCTGACTAAGATGTCCTGGAGCAGTACTTTGAAGGTAGTGGACTTAAGGTGCCCAAAATACTTTCAAAGGCGGTGGTTTCCTTTGAATAATACTCGCTAGCTGTTGGATGCCAATGAAGTGAAAACGTCAAGCAATGGGGGTTTGAAGCTAAACGTTTCTGGTAAGGAACAATAAATGGTTTGATGAAAAATTGAGACTGGCAGCCATGATCTCTTGACTTTGGATCTCTATGTGTGTGGTTTGTCACCGAGGAAGGACAACTGTAGAATGTTATTGAATCGTGTTTTGCGGTGTCAGTCATATAACAACATGCACACCACCACCACCACCACCACCACTACTACACAAACAAGACATGAAAGGTTTACCTTTTGCCTGAAGTCCTGTTTGTTGCAGCTAACAAACAAGGGAAGAAATTAACAATGAGTCATGTCCAGCAGCAGATCAGTTGAGCAGGAAACAAAATGTACACAACGGGAAATATCAGTCTCGTTCTGTGTTAACATTAAAATGATTGCGACTAGCAAGCGTGCTATTGGTTTCTTGACATTAATTGGACGGTAATTAATGAATTTTCAGTTGGGACATTTTGGCATTCAAGAAAGAACATACCCCTATGGCCAAAGTCGTGGCGCCATTCTATTTGTCCTTTTTTGAGAAATAACTTTTATTGCAAGTAGTTGGACGTTATTGCACACATTTATTGCTCATATATCCATCTGCCACGCAAAGTTTCTCAGCTTTATGTTTGACAAGGCTCGTGGGTACTCATATAGCCGTCTGGTAAACAACGTCAGACCCAACAACCAGCTGGCTCGTTCTCAGTCAGGTCAAAGTGATTTTTGGCCTCTCGGTGCCTAATTCAACAGTTTCCTACAAAGATAAGAAAGATTATAATTTCGACTCACGGCACATCTGACATCCATAAACGTCAAGTCGTCAATACGCTATGTCTGGACCAAAATATCGTACAGACAATAAATTGTAACATTGACGTTATAGCGATAACCTCTTCTTTTAATAGTCGTCAACAAAACCAAAAAGACGACGTTCTTGAAGTGATACGAGTAAACAATTGAGTCACCGAGACAACTCCTGTCATGTCGAGGCGTATGTTACTTGGTATAACCTGTGGTACTGCCTACTTGACGTAGGTTTACTCATAACCGCACATATCAACATGCCTGCAGCACGGTTTCAGTAAGTATAATTAATTACACCTCAATCGATATCATGGCCAGGTACCGCTTATCATCTCATTTCCAGAGGTGACCTTCTGGTACATTGTCAAACAAATGTCTGTCTGCAGTGCGTCAGCCAAACAACGAATTGGGGCAGCTAGGCCTTCTGTGTGAAGTCAATAAAACCACACAGTTCCTCGTTCGCTTCGCTGCAAACATACTTAGCGACAAATTGACAACGTCTGAAGCTCTTTACGTGGAAACATAGAGAACCACTCTGGACGCCGCACGCCGAGTTTTTATCGTTTGCCCCCGGGATTAGACTTTCATCTCACAAACACCTGCTCGTGTTGGAGCTGCCATGACCAGAACAGGAGATACACAAAACGCCAAATCAACTCATGCACAATACTGAGAGGAAAATATTAACAGACTGGAATCAGAAGAGAGTGCAAAGCACCACCAGTTTACAGTCTCGTTTGTCACTCTTGTAAATAAAGAAGGTTGAAAAATCAAGACGAAAAGACATTTGCTTCCAGCAAAACGTTATGTTCTGTATTTTACATTTGGTTCAGTCGTATTTAGTTGAATTTTTGAGACTGAGAGCTACAAGCCTAATGCTCTAACGCCATCAAAGCACTGACATTATTCATTTTGGGTTGGTGTTAAAACGGGTCAAATGATTGTCGCGTCTCCTGGCGGGGAAACGCTTAAAAAGCATATCTCTAGAAAGCAGCATGGATGGGATAACAAAGGTGACAATTTGAACCAGACCGCCCACACAGTCTGGCACCGTCATTTGCAGGTTTCACCTGTTTTTCTTTCTTTTCTGCAGAAAGTTTAGAGAAACACTGATTTATATTGTCAGTTTTGACATGGCGCCTATCCCTCCTATCGATTCTCCTATTTCCTGAGGTGGACCTAGCCCCGAAATCGGTACGTTAAAAGCTGGTATTATACTTGTATTTATCTCCCATATGCTGCTGGGAAGTAAAGTATCCCTGGGTTTTGTACGGGGCTTATCTCAACTTTGCTTCATCTTCAGTCAGCGTAAATATGGACATGGTATTTCCAGGCTCATGTAACCACGACAGGCCTTCACCGTGCCGCGTTATCAGGCGTTCCACTTTACCACAGACCTGGCAAACAGCGTGCTGATGCGGTCACGTGGCTTTCACAGCTTACGACTATGGCAAGCTGAAAATCCAATTTGTTCCATCATATCTGCATCGTGCGGCTTCGTGACCAAGGGTTTACATCCCAATGAGCCATGTACTGCCTCAGAACGGTCTACTTAATGGGGTTGAATAACCCTGGCGAAAAGACGCCAATCTAAAGAAACGGCACTGGCTGTCTCATAACAGGCCATAACAGTATGTGTTGAATTCCTATGTAAAACTCCACCAAACCCCATTTTCATAGTAGGTGGCCAAAATCGAGACATGGGCAAATGCCGCTAGAGAAACCAGCTCATCATCGACCACCAATGAAATTTCAAGTATCACGGTCATGGCCTCTATCTTGTTACACACTACAGCGTATCATGGCACTCATACACTACCACTGTGAGAGTGATACGCGGCCTTTCTCATCACACATAAAAAGCTGGTTCCATCTATACTACATACAGCAAATATCCAAACAGTTCAAGCATCTCTACTCGCATTTGGAGCTGGCTATAGTCTTCCAGAAAGCCTAACCGCACAGGCGTTATTAACAGTAATCTTATTATCTCACCTTTCCAAAAGGACCTCATCAGCATCTTGTAACCAGGAAGAGTCCCCGTAAGCCAGGTAAATTGTGCAGACAGATGAGTTTCTCAGAACAGGATGCTCCTGACGCACAAAGTGATGTTCACGCCGACCGTTAAACTGTGACGGGGCACAGGGATCGATGATGGCGGCTTATTTGGCAGCTGCAGACAGACTGTTTAGTGACGAGGATCGCGCCAAGGATTTCGCCCACAGGCGTTAAAGGTAACGATCAAACGCCCACACACGGTATGGCGCCCCTCACAGTCTCAAACGGTCGTGCTTAAGTCTATAATACTTAAGGTAAAAACCACCTGTCGAGATTCATTCGAGCGCGAAAAATGAGCTATTGAGTGGAGTACCATCTATTAGCAGTCCTGTCCTGTGCGTTTGCGCAGTTCGTCGACCATGAGTTGTCTGGTGTCCTCATGTCATATGTGCGCAGGTCGGAGTTGTGACGATCGTCTCACCACCAGCCGAGGGCCTACTACACAGGTCTTTCAGGCTCACTCGCCAGGCTGACTCGCTGACAAAGTACTATCGAATCCCGCCTCTTAGTAATTATCGTCCTCCCACGGGACTAGTTTTCAATAAGGAATATCGACCTTGCCATGTCCAACGAAAAGAAGACTCCGAAAAGAAAAGAAGGCAGCGCCTGTGCGCGTCGGAACGTAGATTTCTGATCTATTCTCCATCTCCACTGGGATGGGTTTCTGACGTCACAACCAGCTGTGACTGACACATATAAAGACTTCATTTGCCACAATGGGTACTTTGGTAAAGTGGCATTGGACCTTTGCATGATTGATTGCAGGCCTAAAATACATAAATATTTCCTTGGAGTAATGGAAGGAAACGTTGCTTCCAGGTTACACAGTAATACTCATGCATTAGATACGCTGGGTAAACTCAGGCAGGCCGCAGGAGATATCTACCAGGTACAGGCTGTTCTCTCCGCATATGAGATATGGCAGAGTGGCGTCAGTCAAATCTGGGAAGTTTCCCCCATAAGAAGGAGCTGTCATTTCCAGCATCGCTAAAGCGCCCAAATGGACGTTGCATGTCGAATACGAGTACATATTGTAAAGAGTTACCATGGCATCACACCCTGGTGTATGGACGAAGTACTTTCAAGAATTGCTCAGAACATCACAGTCAGAAGGTAAAACTAACTTATCGATACTCCGCACGTCGACCACTAGCCAAACAAACAACAAAACGACCAGCTGAAGGACCGGATGGCCCATCGATTAGTCATCGGAAAGCTTATGAAGTAGAAACAGGCATAGGCATGATAAAAATTAAACATTGAAACAAAACTAATAATTTGCAATGAAATAACAGAGATATTGCAGTTGATTTGACCTGATATGATCGTCAGACCGGTGCGAGAGCACTAGCTCTTGCAATTTTATTTCTGAATTTCAATCGGTCAAGTAACATCCAGATAAGGTAACTTTGATGCTTGTCCAAAAAACTGCCTTTACTCAGTCCGATGATTTCCTGTTTCCTGTGCCATTAGTTTCAGCAGAAAACGTTGACATTGACCCACGAGGCTTAGTGTGTTTTTACTCACAACAGACGGATACATTTAGCTTCAGGAATTTCATGTATTGGTAACACGACCGAGCAACCTGGAAACATATTAAAGTACAGCCAATCGCGCTGTGTTTATAGTTCTGTGCGAGTGTTTGGAGATAATGACGTTATGAACTTGATCATGGTATTTCCAGTTGCCTGGCTATGTTATGAACAGAGGAGCATGTTTGTCCAAACCAGTGTCCTCCAGACGACCTTGACTTTACCATGTGGTGCCAAACAATATAACGTTATGTTATTAACGGCATGGCAGTTCAATGACTCTCAGTAAATCGGGTACGATGGAATTAGGGCAATCAGAGCATTGCCCAGATGAAATGAAACTGCAGTCCACAGCTAGAGCCGGCCCATAGTAATGCCAGGAGAGGGAGGATAGCTCGAAGCCCTTGTTATCTGTGCATTCCACCTGGCAATGGGTGGCGTTAGGAGGGAGCTGTATGCAAAATCAACCTTTCTTATGGCATAGCCAAGGATTGTTGCAGTTTGTGATGCAGGGGGCGTAACAACCCCACCGGGTCGCCCAGTGCACTTCGCACGGCTGCTGTTACTGAGATTGCAGGTCTGACCCGCGGTGACCATTTGGTGTTGTTTTGGTCAGGGGTTAGGGTTATCACCGAATCCGGGATACTCGCACAAAATATCTACACCGTAATTTTGCCTTTATCAAAGTATACACATGTATATACTTTATCAAAGTATATACATGATCATGAAAGTTTGAAAGTGTGCACTAAGGGGAAACGTTGTGGTGAGTTTAGCATGCTTTGCGCGTATATTGTCAACTTCGGGTCAGGGGATATTCTGTCAATTATGCAAACAAAATTCTCATCGACAGGAACATCCTGGCAATAGCTTTACATTAAACTTTCATAGCCTTTTGCTCTACTGACTTTCGAAACGGGATAAAGGTACCCGTGACGGATAAAGGTACACCAGCGTTACACACAGAGACACTTGAATGTGACTGGTGTTCGTACAGTCTGGCCGTCCAACTTCCCTGGGCAAAATGTTACCATTCTGCTAATCTTCAGGCAGAACCTCTCGTCACGTTAAGTTTTGAGGTATGATTTTCGCACTAAAACACTACAAGCAAAAGACGCCCTCTAAGGACCAATATTAATACTACAGTACGTCGTCATGCAATACCAAAACTTGTCAACAGGAGCGCTAATTTCTGGACTCAGCAAGTTGACAAAATTAGTTGGGACAAAGTTAGTTTAAATAGTCAAAACGTTCATAAATCTAGTATGTAAACTCATTTCTCGTATTTAGTTGTATACCAGTTTAATACAAACCAGTCAAACAGTACTAAAGTAGGCTTACAAGACCCCTACAAGAGAAGTGGTAGATTCTTAATTCTGGATTTGACCCTTGACCCAAGTCTTAACTTCCTGGTGTGGCAAGTTCTGTCGACTCTGTTCAAGCCGTTAGCAGCCAGGTGTAAGATTCATGTAAGATCATTTATAGGCATGCGGAAGGTTTTGTACAGGTTACAGTTTAATAACTTAGGGTAGTCTCCACCTTGCACTCAAGTTACTATGTGGCTCGTAGGTTTAGAATATGTAACGTTAACTGAGTGGTTGAACTTGAAATGTGTCTCATATTTTTTTCAGATCACAACCATGCTGGACTTGATCATATACGGGGTCCTGGCATGGGGGTTTATGGAAAAAGGAGTCCAGTCCGATTGGCGGAAAAAGCAGTCCAGTCCGATTTTGGGGTGGAAAAAGCAGTCCGGTGGTTTCTAGCAAATTTTACGAAAGACCATAGGTACAATTTTTTCTTGTGTGTGTACTTCTAGTTTCTATGGGTACTTCGAGTTTCTATGAGTACTTAGAGCTTGTATGGATACTTCGAGTTTCTATGACTATTAAGAGTTTGTATGGGAACTTGAATGAGCATATATGTGACTCACTATATGCCGCCTTAACACGTAATTCAGGCAGCCTTGGGTGAGGAATAGCGGACAACTGATTTACACCTCTTGGGACCACCGAAAAGTAGTTTCTATACATACAGGTCACCTATCCACAATAAACAAAAGTTAATTATTAAGGGATTCTTTCTTACAATTGTACTTCCGGTACTTACATGCTTGTCGGTGTAATGCAAAGTCTGCCATACGTGGCTTTAGCAGGGGCCGGCTGGATGTTGGGCAGCTGGCAACCGTAAAGCGATTTAATCAGGCTACTTGCAAGCAGGATCGGCCCTGTAAATCTCGTCAGTTGACCGCTTCATCTTTTGACTAATTATTATTACTTATATGTAAGTAATAATCCGGAGGCATGATGATGATGATGATATGTAAGTTACAGACTGTAAGTTCCCATGCAAACTCTAAGTACTCATAGAAACTCTAGGTTCCCATATAAACTCTAAGTACTCATAGAAACTCTAAGTACCCATAGAAACTCAAAGTACTCACAGAAACTCAAAGTACCCATAGAAACTAGAAGTACACACACAAGAAAAAATTGTGCCTATGGTCTTTCGTAAAATTTCGTACAAACCAAAATCGGACTGGACTGCTTTTTCCGCCAATCGGACTGGACTCCTTTTTCCATAAACCCCTGGCATGGAGTCAAATACAAGGGGTGTGGCGACGAAGCCCGTCACGAAAGCGAGGCTCGTTGCAAAGGTTTCGCTCAGGATGATGGGTATTTCTCGGCCGTAAATCGGCCTGCCTACCTGCTACCTGCTGTAAATCGGCAGCCAGCCGTAAATATCGCTCCATGTCGTAATCCCACCTCCAGTGCGTTCTTGTTGTAGGGTAGTTTCAGTGTATTTAAACAGCCTTTTTTGTAGTACACACGGTCTTGTATTAAAGACACAAATTGTAGTACTCTACTTTTGAGAATTTTACCTCATGAAATCAGTCTATACAAAAAAAATGAATCTCATAAGACGAAGAATAAGGTCAATCGCTCAAAAAAGTTTTGAAGACTTTTAGCCACATGATAAAACAAGAAAAACTCTGCCTGTATTTGTAAACCTCTGGTATAATTATTGATTTCACTGTTTGTATTGGATAATAAAGTGATAAACATATTGAATTTGCTGAATAGTATACTGTAACAAAGTTTCCCATACCTGCCTTTAAAATGTACACATTTCCCTGTTTTAGTAAATTTTCCCTTGTATCAATACTATATCTTCAAAGCAAGTTGTTACTGTTACCTCACCACCTAGCCAGTGCATAAAAAGATGCAAAGCAGGCCTTTTCTGTATTTTATTAATCTGCAATAAGAACACATGGTAGCTCTGACACAAACGTGTCTTCTCTTAATTAAGCTTATATCACATAGGTGGCACAAGTAGAAAAAACAAAGATGCACCATCATATTAAAGTACCTTCCACCTTGCAGAAATGTTATCTACACAGACTGATTACATTACCCAATATATTTTTCT